AGGAGCGGCTGCAGACGGAGCGCACCATCGCAGCAGCCGGCCGCGTCTCAGGGGCGCTGCGTCGGGCACAGCTGCGGGTGCTGCTCCTCCCGCGCTTGCTGCTCCCGGTAACTCTGCCAACCTCGCCTTAGAGGCGACCCTAAGCCACTCCTGAGCTCCCTCTCGCCCTGCACTGCCCTCACTCTGTGCCTTTGCCCCGCTCCGGTCGGCCGTCTCTCGTGCCCTCCGGCCCGCAGGGTGCGATCACCATGTGCATCCGAGGGATGCTGCGAGCCACCGTGCTCCTGCTTCTCATCAGGACCTGGCTCTCGGAGGGTAACAGCGCCAGTCCCATCCCGAAATCCCGCTTCACGGGCGCCTCTACCGTGCCCAAACTCAAGAACGTGTTCGACTGGTAAGCGGGCGCTGCCAGGTTGGGTAAGGCGGCGACAGATGCGGGCGGGCGGCTTCGGGCCTCTTGGACGGAGCGGGCTGGGGGAGACTCGGACCCGAGTCGCCGAGCTGTGGCGCTCAGGCCCTGCCTGCCAGTGCCTGGAGGGGAGGGAGAGAGCTGGGAGTGGCGGTGACCGGTCGAAATAGAGCCCTGTGCTAAAGCCCACCTGTTACTGTGGCACCAGAAAGAGCGCTGCGTGTGCCCAAACTGCAGCCCCGGGGGTGGAGAGAAGATGCCCCCGCCCTGGGGTCTGCCAGCCCTCTCCAGAGACTAAGATCCTGGGCGGCTTTTCCCAGTCATGTCTTTGGCACCTGTGGGATTGGGGTGGGGGGTCGTATGGGGTGATGGGCAAGTCTCAAAACACAGACAGTAGAGACACCTGTTTGAGTCCGAATTTTAGCCTGTTCATTGAGGCGCGCGCGCGCGTGTGTGTTCGTGCGTGTGCGTGCTGAGCGGTGAGGACCTTTTCCGATGCCGCAGGTAGAAATTATTGAGTCAACCTCATGGGAGCCCAGACAGTGAGATCGGAGGCTGTTTAACCGGGCGCGCTTTTGTATGTACACCTATGAAAACATTTGAAGCCTCAGGGTTTTTCCTGTGTTCGATTTCAAGTTTGTTGGGGTCTGCGAATATCTGGAGAGATGTTAAACAGCCGGCTTTTGTATGTAGATCACACAGAAACGTGTGTTTGCGGTGGCCAGGGAACCTGAATGCTGGCATATGGGTAATGTGTGGTCTTAAACAGGTGGGAATGCATTGCTTTAAGTCAGAAATAATTAATGTGCACACTTTGGAATGATGCAAAATGAAATTTTGTCATTAAAGATGATTGGAGACAGTCTTTTAAATGACAAACCAGAAGTGAGCACGCATTCAGAAAAAAAAGGGGGGGAGGGGTAGTTGGGCAAGGTTCCAGCAGACATCTCTGCAATGGCCTCAACCCCAACCCAACATTCCAGACTGCGCTAGTGGACACACACGCACACACACACGCGCATACGCAGAGAGATTTGCAGGGGCTGTCTCCCTCTTCATTGCGTCAAAGATTCTGAGTCATAGTGATTGATACCCAGGGCCTGTTCTAATTCGCAAGCCCCTCTTGGGAAAAAGAGACCCATTGAAGATGTGAGTGAATCGAGTGAGCACATCAGAGACTTCTGGAAAGGCCGGCTCTTTGGGGCTGAGCTGGGTCCACTTACTTGTGCTTACCCAAGACACGTCCAGGCTGGAAGCACACGCTTAGCCAGACAAATGCCTGCTCCCCGAATATGTGTCTTTTTGAGGGCAGCCCTGAACCCCAAGAATCTGAAACGGTTTGGATGGGCGAGGGTCATAAATGTCCGCTGCCCAAGCCAGGCTCTCTCTCTGCGTCACATGCCATATGTGAAGTCTTCAAAACAGTGTGCAAAAGGAAGGTTCACATAGACGTGATGACTGAATGCCTGGCCCTAGCCCAGGTAGGGGCAATGTGACTGGGCTGGAGAAGGTAGACAGGCTTGCCCAGCTCGGGAGGGCACTGGGGATAGAAGACCACCTTTCCTGGGGTGACCAGTTGCCCCTCCCTGGGAGGGAGAGTTCCCACCGACCCTGTAAGCTGCAGCCAGACAGATGGCAAGATGGGGCTCCTCCGGGGTGGGGGGGGGAGTTGAACTAAAGCGCAGATCTGGGGGCTCCACCTGCCTGCTCCCTCCATCCCTCTTCTCCCCGCTTCCCCTGCTGGCTCTCCTCTTCCCCACCCCCAATCCTGCCTGGTAACCTGGAACCGGTCTGTGCGCCCTACCCTCTGGAAAAAAGCAGAGGGGAGGGGGAGGGGAAATGGGAGTGCGTCACTGCTGCGCTTCTGGCTGACTCACTGGGGGGAGGAGGTGGGGGGAAGACGTGTACATGTATGAAAGTACATGTCTGCGTGTGCGCAGAAGAGAAGGCCCTGGCAAGTTGACGCCTGGTGTGTTCTTTGTCTTTTATCCTCTGAGAAGCAATGTGGCATTTACTGGTGACTTCTCTGTTTTAGCAAAAATTGCGCAAACGAATCCGTGGTTCACAAGATTCTGGACAGGGTGCTGTCGGGATACGATGTCCGTCTGAGACCCAATTTTGGAGGTAAGACGCATCCAGACACTAATTAGGTGGAATAGAGCCCGGCTCCGACGAGCTAGCCCCACCTAGTAAGCTGACCAGGGGCCTCCCCTGGCTCAACACTGTGCCTCTCCCCCCACCCCAGGCCTGCAGCGAGCACTCCAAACCCCCAAACTCCAGGTCTTTTGCTGTACCCCTGGAATTTCCCCCACTTCTCTACTTTCTTATGCAAAAGGCCTGCCCCATTCACACTTCTTTACGATGGCGCAGAGGGAGCCTGAGGCTCGCTTCCTGCTGTTGCTGGAGCAGAGTTAAGCACGGAAATGGACAAAACGCGCCCCCACCCTGCTCCTCAGGCTACACTTTTGTGCTCCGTCTATGGGGGGAGGGCACACGAGCTTCTGCTTAAGCCCGTATTCTGTGCATTCTGGACAGTCCCCCCATTCAGCGAGTTCAAAACTAAGGGTATGGTCTTCTCGGTGTTGTTTATTTCACCCACCCACCCCAGACCTTCAGCTTCTACCAAGTTCATTTTATTCAACACACTGCAGGCAGCGTGATCTTTATCAATCCAGCCCGATCACCTCAGGAACTTTTGATAGCTTGACTTAACTGCCAAACAAAATTCAAACTCCTTAATGTCTAATCAATGTACTGTATACCTTGTAATAGTAATAAAATAAAATGTTTAAAAGGGGGGGAAAAAAGCAGCCTTACATTTTAGCGGAGAGGACAGCAGATACACAATAAATCTATAATATCAAATAGTGAAAGAAAAACACTCCTTAGCCTAGCGCTCAGATCTCAAGCACAAAAATGAAAAATGACAAGGAATCTGAAGCACACAGACATCCAGGAAAGCAATATATGAGCTTCTCCCAACATCTCTACGGAGCCTCCCCGCTTGGAAAGGGAATGGCCTCCTTCACTCGGCTTCAACAGAAAAGCAACCTACCCCGACCCCACAGAGCAAGAGTAGCATTTTCTGGCCCAGGGAACACCCAGGAAACCTAGACGAGGGACAGAGAAAAAGAAGGGTGCATTAAATAGAGATTATAGTCACATTTGTGCTCAAAAGGACAGAAAAAAAGCTGAAAAAGAATGGCTAAGCCTGAAAAGGCACTCCATTTCCTGCAGGTGGTAGAGCTCAACCCTCCCCCACTTCTAATGGGTTAATGAGTGCTAATGGCCCACGTTTATACATATGAATAGAGGTCTTGGGAATACTGAATGCCTCAGCCCCAAAGGCTTGCTGCTTCAGGGACTTGCATGCGTGGCCACCTTGAAAAACAAGGCGATTGTCCTGGGCTGAGCTTGGAGGTGGGACACTTCAATAATGTCCCCTTTGGCTGCTTCCCTCCTTCCAAATGAGGACGGGAGCTCTCAATGTGAGAATTCCGGTGTCGGGGCACAGCCAGCACCCCCACTGCGTGATGCCGTTTTAGATCAGTTGCACCAAGCACCAGTGGGTGTCGAGGAAGTAGCTACTACATTTTCTCCTTTCTACATTTTCTTGTTTCTCAGCGAAGGCTGACCAACAGCCATTTAAGTACACCAAGCACCCAGGGGCGGGGTGCAGGGGCAAGGACCATGCTCTGGGGATGGCCAGGTACGACTGGCTCTCAACATCTCCAAGTCACCTGACCAGCATCCTTTGAGCTGATTCAGATTTGTTTACACGAGGTGCCTAGCCTCTTGGGTTACCCTAAGCTTTAGGGGCACGCAGGCCTGGGGCATATGAGAAAAGATGGGTTTCTGATTTGGCCAAACAGTAGATAAAGGTGAAAGGGTAAGGACAATGCAGGACTTGCTAGCATTTAAACAGGAGGGGACACTATAAGCTCTAAGTCCAGGGCTAGTGTATTGGGCGGGGAGTGGTCAGCGAGCCAGAGGAGTCAGGGTTGGGAGAACCAAGACTCCATGTAAGGCCTCCCGCTACACACAGTCATGTTCAAGGAGGAGCCAGGAAAGTTAACAAAGCTGCTTCTGGGCGAGAGGCATGGACTCCACAGCGGTGCAAAAGGCAGGTCCCTGAAGACTTCATGTAGCCCTGCACGTGGCATGACATTGCTGTAGAGTGAAGGAATGATGGAGACCTCGTCATCATTCCTTCGTGTGTCTTTTCCAGGTATTCTGATGGGTTCTAGGGAGGGAAATTGCCCCCTCCCACTTGTCCTACCTTCCTGAGCCCATAAGGAGGGACAGTGATGGGTTATGGGCTGGGGCATCATCACCCCAGAGATAGCATTAGATGCCTGATCTGGAGCTGCTTTCTCCGTTTTGTTACGCTTTTAGGGATGTGGGGTACCTTAGATAAGATCTCGTCCTGTCCGCTGCCAGCACATAAGATGTCCCCTCTGGGTGGATAAATTAGAAAAAGGTACTAGGTCCCTTCCCACCAGGCTACGTCCCTGAGCCAGGACTCATAGCTTGGTGACTGCATTTCAGCTCCCACGTGTCCCTTCACCTGGGAGCCCTTAGACAGGGCTATGCCTGGTCCTTTTTAGTGTTTGGGTCCCCAGGGTGCTGCTGTAAGGGATCAAGTCACCTGAGTGGCATGCGATGGTCTAGGACAAGAAGGCTGGCAGCACAGTGATGTGGTTGGGGGTGGCTGCCTGGCCCCTGGGTCTTGTTGCCAGCCTCACGCAGTTTCTGCCTTCTAAAGGCATGTAGGGGGTCCGAAAGGCTGTAATAAAGAACTGCCTTTCTAGAAACTCCTGTCACTACATAGCACTTTGTTGGGGATCATTCACAATAGCCCTGAATGCCAGCTTTGGGGCTGGATCCCCACAGAGTCCCATTTACTTATCAGCAGCCATTCATATGCTGATTCCCAGGAGCACTTTGCTTTTTGAAGCATTGGGGTGGGAATGATACATTTCTTTGCAGTTCAGCTTCTGAGCAGTCAGTCTTCTCTGCAGCCAGCAGGTGAACTGCAAGCGTCATGCGTGTTTCCATAGCAGCAGCGTGACGTAATATGCATAGAATAAAGGCTTAGCTGTAGGGCTGGTTAGGGGGCAGCTTTGAGCCAATGCGGAAACAATAAAAATGTATTTTTCCACAGCCCCTTCTAGTTTACTACGGATTTTCACATCTTTGCTCACATTTGAGTGGGCAGTGCTAACTAACACCTAGGCCTGAAAAAGACAGCCGGGGGCAGAGACGCACTCACACATTCAGCCGTACATCAACACAAACACCTTTCGTGTGTACTAACTCACGTGAACACACTCATGAATTCACATACGGGTACACGCACATGAACATCCACAGCTACTCACGGACATGCTAGGGTATTCATGCACATGAACATGCATCAGCTCACATACACGTATCCCCACATTAACATATTTGTGCACAAACAGGCTCGTACGTGAGCATGCTCACATGCAAACATTCACTCATCTGTACAGTGACACGAACATACACGAATGTGCTCGTGGATTCACTTGCACATCCACTCACAAATGCTGCAGACGTGCTCACACGTACAGAAGCACAGGAGCGTGCTTACATACGCTCAGGCTCGTATACTCATCTACATAAGTGATAAGTGTGGGCATGTGAGTGTTCACTTATCACTTGAATATGAACAAGGTCACACAAGCACACATTCACACAACGAACATGCTCACTCAGTCACACACTCGAGTTCAGTTACATTCTCGTTCACTCACAAACATCAACTCACATGCACTTAACATGGTCACACAAACATACATTCAATGTAAACACAACTTTACACACAAACGTGACCATGTATTCACTCACATGGACATGCTGACAGATACACTAATGTGTAAACAGGCTCACACAGACAACCCGCATGTTCACTCACAGAGTACACTCACACATTCTCATTCACTCCCTCAAAAACATTTAAATATTTAAATATGCAAACATACTCACATCCACTCATATGTGGTCATACATTTACTCACAAACGTGCTCACGTGCATGAAAGTACAAATTAACTCACACACAAACTCGTGAGTACAAAGATGCTCACATATTCACTTGCACAACATGCTCGCGTGTGCTTTCTCATTTACTCACATGCAATGTATGCAATCATACAGACGTTCATGCACTCACCTGCGAATACACACAGATCCACACACATGGACACGCTCACATACAGAGACGAGCTCTCGAATACCCCCATGCTGATACATTCCTTTGCACCTTAACGAACTCATGTACATTCACGCATTCACTCACAGACAAGCACACTTGCTTGCACACGAATGCAGTCATAGATTCACTCCCATACAACGTGCCGATACGCACGCACATGCACACACATTTACTCCCACAACATACTCAAGCACAAAACCTTGCTCACATTGTCTCACAGACATGCTCACACACACACGTGCACACTGACACCTCCACCTACACATGAATACACTGACACAAATACGCTCTCACACACCACGAATCTTAGCTCATTTGGGGGCTCACTCCTCTGAGATTTTATCGGGAAGACATTTAGAAGAGTACTTCAGCGCCTTAGTTTTTCTTGATTTTGCCCCTGCTCCTTCTTTCCAGTGTGTCATTGGGCCAGGCCCTGCCTTAAGTGCTTGGCCTGCCTTAAGTGACATCAGCGCTGTAATGATCTCCATTTTACCCATGAGGAAACTAAGGCTCAGAGAGGTTAGGTAACTTACTCAAGGTCACACAGCTAGTAAATGTCCAAATGGGGTTCAAACCCAGGTGGTCCGGCTCCTGAGTCCACACTCTTCCCCTTTACCCTGCCCTGCATGTAACAGTGTCTTCCTGTGTTGTAGGTGCCCCTTTGCCCGTGGGAATATCTATGTACGTCTCCAGTATTGAACAGATCTCAGAAGCGACAATGGTAAGTGTGTCAGCCCCAGCCATGGGGACAGAATACATGAGACAAGGGGCAGGATCATAAGCCAACTCCAGTTGTGACCTGTAACAGGGCCCACATGGGGGAACACAGGTTTTGGAAACTAGAGCCACTTGGAATAAAAAATAAATAAATCCAGATAGATTCTGGACCTACAAGTTGAAAGGCTTAGGAAGTTTTTAAAAGGTAATGTAGGATACTGTCTTCGAACCTTTACAGTAGCTAAAGACTTCTTTAAAAAGACATCAAAACACAAACCAGAAAATGAAATACTGGTAACTTCAACTATGATAAAATTCTGTTTAGGCGAAACTTCTGTAACTTCTGTTTTGCAAAAAATAAATCAGTATAGTAAATGTGAAAAGATAAGTCGGTGGACTAACATATTTACAAAAGAGTGGACCGATGTTAAAAATACGCATAATTCCTGTGAGTTAATAAGAATATTTAAAAAGCAATAAAAGTGATCAGAAAATCTAAACAGGAACTTCACTATCGTGAGGAAAACCAAGTAGTAGATAAACATATGAAAAGATGCTCGACATTATTAATCAGAAAAATGCCAAACGGGACCACAATGAGAACCCATTACATGCCCATCAGAACGGCAAAATTCAAGTCAGACAAGACCACTGTTGGCGAGGTGGGAGCGTAGGAAACGCTCGTCTGCTCCTGGCGGTGCTGTAAAGTGGAACTTGCTTTCGTTTTTT